TTAGTGAAGTTTTCTTTCAAAGCAGCTCTGCATGTTTTATCAAAATGTGGCTAGTGAACTTAATAGCCAGTAAATTTAGTCTGCCATACAGCTCTGCGTGCTTAAGCCTGCTTTGGGCTTGGAGCAGCCCAAGCTCCAGTACCGCTCAGAATGCGAAAGCTGTAGTGCAGGTGGTGGCGTGATAGTTGTGTGCAGTGCAAAGGGTTCAGGTCCGGTATGAAGAGGCCGAGTGTGAGCCCTTCGGGGGTTGTTCGGGCTGCAGAACAGACTTGGCTGGAAGTGGCCGCTTGGGCTAACCACTAAATTAGCTCAGGTTGTTCAGGTCTGCGTCCACTCCAATTTTGAAAGTCTCTGAGGCTGGAGGATTGCATCTAGATAACCTGTGCCATGGCTCAACTAGTACTTAATTATTACTGTGAATAGTTTTTTCCTTGCTATGTCTTGTCCTTTTGCTGTCCACTTGTAAGAAGAGTCTGTCTGCCAGGTAGTGGAAGACTACTTAGTGTTAACCTCTTCCCTCCTGAGCCTTCTTTATTCCATGTTAAGTAAACCTGTCTCCCTCAGCCTCTCCTTGTATGTCCTGTATGTCAGCCCTCCCCTGCCCACCTCTGGGCTTTCCCCAGCTGGTCAGTATCTTTTTGGTTCTTTATGTGAAGCTAGCAGGTACAGGATATGCGGTTACATGTGCTCTGTCCAGCCGGGCAGTGAGTGAATAATTGCCGATGCATCTGGAAATTATTTTTGAAGTACTGTGCTTTCTGATCTAGGTATGTCCTACTGAAGGAAAAAAACATGCTTTTAACTTTAGAGCAAGAATCGAAACGACAGCTCAGGCCTATGCCAAGTCCAGAACGATTAGAAAAGGTAAATTTTTCATGCTAGTTAATAAAGTAAAATTGCTGAGTGAAAGGTAAAGTGTTTGTAAACTTGTTAAAGATGATTTTTAAAATATTTCCCTGGTTCAGTATAAGCACAAACACTGTGCTCAAGCAACGTTGTGGGAAAGGCCTCTCCACCTGTTATGTTAAGAAATATTTTACTGTCTTCGTGCCCTGAAACTGCACTAGAGGATTTCTAGAAACTTCCTGGTAAACCCTTCACAAACTCTTTTTTATCTGCTTAACTGTTGCCAACTCCTTGCTTGACATTGTCTTCTCTAAACTTGTGCCCTTTGGTTCTTTGCTGTCCTCACTTTTGTCATCCCCTCATTCTTTTGCGTTATTGTAATTCTGCAATTAATTTATTAAATTCTTTCCTCAGTATCTTTACCACTGAAAACTTAATTTACTTATAAATTGACTGCCATCTCTATGCTTATGTCTCACAGATGGAAATCTACACCTTCACTGGCCGGTTAATCCAGCTGTTTGACATGAGAGATATTCTCAGATACCCCCCTATTTATCCAAATTAATTTGGGAAAAGTCTGACCTTTACATTGTTCCTCTGAATGTCTTTGTATGGTTTATCATTTAACTGTATGTTTGCCATCACATGCATCTGCAACTGTGTTATGGTCTCATTTTTTTTGTCAGACATGGATTTGGTCTCCTACTCTTGTTATTTCATCACTGTACTTAGAAATTAGGGAAGATCCAATATAAAACACTCCTCTGGATCTCCTAGTGTATCTTGTTCTAATTTGTCATCATACAGTTTCTCAACTGTGACTTGTGATTCCCATTCTGAAGAGCATTTTCTGCTTAGTCCCACCTACACATCTGTATTCAGCAACTCCGAATCACTGTAGAACTTGTTTTGGGAGGGAACTTGTTAAGTGGCCCCAACATTTCCAAAGTCAAATCTTACTAATTGCCTGATTGGTTTTGGCTGAAGCCCAAGAAAAGTAGAAGTCAAGCAGCATTTAAACACTATGATTGCACCAAGACAAAATACAGCAATTTGCTTATTAAAATTAGCTCTAGCAGCTTCCCAGAGCATTTAACGTGTTGGCATATGTCACGTGTGTTACAGTAAATTACGTGGCAGACCTGACTAAAAACCTTCAACTCAAGTGTCATAGTTTGGTCAGGGCAGTTTCCTAACTGGCCGGCAGGCGTTGGGGAGTCTGGTCACAGCCTCAAAGTGCAAACTAGAGTAACAAACAGCTGTTACAAACCATCCGACAGAAATGCATATGGCGTATCTTCTGTTATTTGCCTCTCCTTTCTTCCTGCCTCAGAGCTTTCTATACTTCTGGCATCAGCGTTAGATCTGGCTTTATGTGTTTAGCCAGGTAGTCTTTAATGAATATTCAGGCTGTCAGTTATTTTGTCTCTCTCCTCCTACCTGTAAGCCAGTTTCTTTAAGCACCCATTCTGTACTGCTCCAGTACACAGGGCCAGTTCAGCTGTTTCACTCAGTCCGCAACTGTGAGATTACTCATGATAGAACTCCTAGTGTGTTTTAGTTTTGCTTTTCCTTTAAATTTTGTCTTCGATCTTCATTTGAGATCTTTTAAATTGTCAGCATTGTGTTTTGTTGGCTCATCCTGAAACTATTTCCTATTTCCAGGTAGAAAAATCTATGAAAAATGTAGACTTGGTTGTCAGAGAAAGAGAAGTTGCTTTGAGGCTTTTACAAACTGGCCATGAAAAACCAGCACCTGGCGAGTGGAGACATGACTTCTTAGGACGCACCTACTGGTAAGGAAAAGAGAACTCTTTTTTTTTTTTTTTAAATATGTGTGAATTTTTCTTGTGGTTTGTCTCTTTACCAGAAAATCCTTATCTAATCAAGAAAGGATGCATAACTGTATAGAAGAAACAAACATGTTTTCTGGTCAGCATTCAGGTGCTTCTTGAGTGTTTTTTGTTGTGTTGGGTTTTTTTTATGTGGTTATAATTGTTGCTAAATAATTCAATGGCATACTCTACCATTAATTATAAGAAAATTAGTTCCATGTAAGTAATATGATTTCTGTGCTCGGAGGATGTCTGTTACTGTAGCGATTCTGTAACCCATGAATGAACTAGGGGCTACTGTTCAGGTTGAACCATCTGGACTTCCCTTGTTACAAGGCAAAATCCACCCAAAGTGTTGCACGAGACCCCATAAACCTCCGCTGGAATGCCCTACTAGTCTTGGCAGAGAAGCTTCTACCTTTAGAGTTATTTGTCCAGACACTTTCAATAATCTGTAATGTCAGGTGATGACGGTGAAGGTTCTGGCAGGACCTGCTGTTTCATTAACCAGTATTTTCCCCTCGTCATAATGGCATTTGAAGCAGTAATTACAGTATTCAGCTCTGCAGTAACAGTGTAGCTAACAGAAGGTCACACATGATAATAATGGTGACTTTGGAGTTGTTATCCATTTGTTTATCCATTAAATATAAATGAGCAGGGTACTAAATGCACTACCTACTAGATTTACATCTCTAGGGATAAGGCTTCTGTGCACCTTTCTGCTTGGAAACATTGCCCACAAAGAAGGGTTTGCCCATGTATCTGTAAGTCCAGTCCCCAGTTAAAGCAGGGGCAAGGGCAGACGACATGAAACGGTCTTTAAGCACACGCAGAAACTCTGCAATATCCATAAGAGTAGGTCTGACACAATCTGGATGCGCTGGAGTCTGTAGGTAAGTCTGTGCAAGCCATCTGTGCAGCCCATATGCGAGAGAAACCCCAAACAGAAATAATAGTCTGTATTTAAAGGGAAAGACATTCAGGCAGATTTGCACTTGATGTGACACTCAAAACACTGGCATTTAAAAGTGTAGTAGAAACAAAACTCTTTTCACACGCAGTTTGTTCACATCAGCTTTTGAAAGTTTTCTTATGAAGGAGTAACTTTAAAAATATAAATGCAAAGAATCCCTATCTATATTGGGCCCGCTCTTCAAACTTCTAGTTTTTAAAGCAAGACCACTTCCTACAGAAAGACACCAAGCTACGTGTGAGATGTAGTTACAAACCAAGCCAGTAGCAGAGCTGAAAGTAAATACCCACATATAAATTTTGCAATCTACCGGTCAGACCACTTTATCACCCTACTGTAACCAAGTGTAACTGGTAGAATCCAAGAACGAAAACAAAAAGTATATATTCTATAATCACTTTTATCTATCTTTAACAGGTACACTTACAAGGAATGGCCAATACCATGGTACTTGAACAAAAAATACAAAAAGAGGAAATTCTATTACTTACCTCATGTGAATCACTTCATCAGGTAAAAAGAATTTTTTTTTACACTGAAAGTTATTTTCTGATCTGTTCCTCAGTCCTTATTCCACTTTGCAAGGAAAAAATAGTAGTAATCTTGTTTTTACAACAAGTAGACTGAAAAGGCGGCTTTTTAAAACCACAGCTTGCTTTGTTTCTTTTTGCTGTTCCCATCGTAGTTACCAAGAGACTTGGTTATCTATGAAGTTGCACTGTAAAGGTCATCTTACATGCAGAGTACCTAAGATCCTCCCAGAGAGAATAGAATTCAAAAAGCAGAGGAAAAAAAAAGTTTGCTTTGCAGGCACTTTTGTTTACCAAAAGCAAATTAATAGTGAAGTTGTTCATCACTGGGAGCCTCTATTTGATGAGGGTGGCGAGCTCATTAAGGATGTTAGAAGCTATCTAGAAATTAACCATGCTGACTTTTTTATTTCAGGCTCAGACTTGAAAAATCTTTATGTAGAAGGGCAAGAAGGAAAAACCTGGAGAAGACGAGGCAGAAGGTCTTGGAAAGGAAGTTCCCTCACCTTGCTGTAAAATCTGAGAGGCAGTAACATGCTGGAAGAGCGCTGTGAGCAATTGGTCGAGCATCTTTGACTGGAACATGAAACAAGTTCTGAAACCAGGGAACGACTTGACTGAGCATTCCTGAGAGTCTTTTTTTTTTTTTTTTTTTAATCCCACATTTGACCTAAATTAAACCTGTGATCTGGAATTAAAAAGCAGCTTTGGTGCATAACTCAAATTAATCCTAACAGTTGTTTCTAGAAACACTTGAAAAATGACGTATTAACCAGCTATTTTAGAAGTGAGACATACATCGTTAACAGTGAAAAGCAGCAACTGACTCCAGATGAAAGTATAAAGTGTAGGGATAATATTTTACCTGGTGTAGGTTAACAAATGTGCATTAAAACCAGACAGACACGAGAGCCTCTGAAGCTCACACGCTAGCCTTTGTTCCCTGACCACGAGTTACAGGTATGTCACCTAAGTTACACGTGCTTTCTGTGTAACAGCATGGGAAAATAAGCTCTTCGGTCTGCTACGAGGAATTTTTTCCCTGCTTTAAGTCTGTCTTGTTAGAAAGTATGAAATATTCAGCATGTGAACTTTTAACAATGCAGTCTTTATACCTAGATTTCTAGATACCTATGACAAGTGTTTTTTTGCAGTGTGAAAAATGTTTGAAGGCAGACTGGTAATAGTAATTGAAGTAGAAAGGTGCTGCTGCTCTCAGTTGATGGTACACACCTGTGTCATGAAAGCTTTTAGCCTTCAGCTGGGGTTGTGTAGAAATGTAAAGTAACAAATACTAGTCCTTCAGGAACCAAATGTGTTATGCAATATAATCTGATTAAACACTGGCAACTCCAAGGGAACCAAAACTAGGAGACAGGTATGTCCGTCTCTATCACCTTGACCTTCAGTTACTCCTCTGTGTCACGCAAAAGACCGACTTCTTAAACTCTTTACAGTGGTGAGAAAAAACCCCAGAAAGTGTTTTGCTCTCCATGTCGTACTGTAACATTCACAGGTACTACCGTTGTAGTGTAATTCTTAGAAGATACACAGAAGATAAAAGGTGATAAGACGTGATGACACACATATGACACAGAAGGAAAGCTTAAAATGCAGAGTCAATTCATGAAGAGAAACAAAAAAAAAAGCCTATTTACATCTTCATCTCTAGCTACAAACTGTCCTGTCAAGCCAAGTACTTCACTGATGCCACAGTAACTTTACAAAGCAATGCTCGCTGTGGTGTGCTAAGATACAAGTTCAGCTGACATTCTGCACTCTACTTGAATGCAAACTAGGCCAAGTCTGTTTCTTCCAGTGTGACTTGTATCACCTAGCATAGCTGACTTCAGTTTGCCTCATTTTGCGAGAGAAACGTGGTTTGGCAACAGCTTTGAAAGTCAGGAGTGAGCTACTTCATCTCAAGAGCAACTAGTGGTTATCACGATCAGACAAAAGCAAGCTGTTTTGATAAATTACTTTATTGTTTGGCGGTAATGTGAAACTTTTCAACTAGAGGCCTCATCATTATTTACCCACAAGGTCTTTTAGGATACGAAAAATGTAGCACTACTGTTTACATTTTTTTTTTTTAAATCAGTTAAATGCTATTTGGTTTTCCACAGCTTTTAAGATAAGGAGCAAAACTTCATTGTGTCCCAATACAGAACATCACACAGTTGTAAATTAAAGTAGGCTTAACAGCAACATAGAGCTGCATCTTGACAGCCAGTTCCTGCCAAAAAAGAATCGCCCTACTTCCTCTGACCCTGAGTGCACGCTCCCCTGCAGAACGCAGGTGCTTGCCAACCCTGCTGTGAGTCAGCTGCGGGAGCTATATCAGCAATAAGCGAGCAGTGACTGCCCCTTCGAGTTACAGCTCCCTGTAAAATGTCAAGCCACATCCTGAGGGCTTCTATGACTACTCTCCTCATCTTGGAGATGATTCTTTGCCTTAACTTCCCCAGCTCGAACAAGTTTTGCTTCTCACCTACATCACAAAGGCATTATATACATTCTTAGAAAGTGGGTGGAAAGCACTGATTGTTTACTGAAAGGAAATTGCCCCATAATAGGAAATTAGCAAACCAGTGCTTAATTCACTAAGTGGAATGTAACACTTTCATTAGACACTAAAAGTTTACGCCGAACTGAGTCAGCTATAGTAGATCACTAAATACAAACTTTCCATTTTTAAAACAGAAGAGTAACTTTCTCTGCAAGTACTCACAAAGTTGCTCAAATATAAAAGACCAAATTTTATTTTTTAAGAGAGAGAGAAGAGCAATTTAAGGCCAAAGTACCAGCAAGGAAGACTAATAAGTAAAAGTAGACAAGAGGTTTTTTTAATAAATTTGCATGGGCATTTGCAAAGTTATGCCTCTATCTATTAGCTAACCTGTAAAGCTGTTCCCAGGAAAAGTTACTAGAGAAAATAGACATTTATACAAAATTATAAAATGCTTGTTACATGAATTATTGCTTTACAAGGGATGTAAACATCCTTTTTTCTATGATAGTACCAATTAGGTCTCCAAAATTTCTAAGGTTTGTTAAAAATGGAACTCGAATTATGCAAAAAATCCAATATAAACTTTCTACAAAAAACAGTTCATCCCATTCCTGAGTATGCTAAAGCTATAAAACAGAAGGAGCACTGAGCAGGCAGCAGTTTTCACAGTAAGAGCTTTAAGGACATTTTCTTTCTACACACTGTTTCCCTCCTTCTTCATATTCTTGTTTAGAAATCCACATCTGTTGAAAAGTACCCTACAAAAAACAAACAAACAAACCAGAACAATAAAACACAGAACACACAATTAACAACAACAACAAAAAAATCAGAAAACAAATGGAGATTAAGTGAAACATGATTAGCTTTTCCCAGGAGGAAAAACAAGCAAGTCTTTACACTAAATGAGGTAAGAGGACTTGCCCTGCTTACCTATCTTTCCTTTGAGTGTTGTATTACTAGCAATTAAACTAAAGACAGGAAGTTGCAGTACCGACAGCTGATTTCAGTCTCCCTTTCCCATACTGCTAAATTAATTCCCACAAACCATTTCAGTACTCAGTAACTTGCAGAATTAAGCTCAGGAATATGATGCAGAAACAGGTTTGCTACTCTCATGCTGTACTATATACATGTCATTTCTAGATACTGGATTTCAAGCCTGCACCTTGCCATTCAAAATAGGAGAATGTGGCAAGTTACTTTTTGATTGGAAATGCTCATGTTTTGTTTTTTAAATAGATTCCTTCACCTTACCACAAGGACAGATGAGATTATGATTGCTACGGTAGCACAAACTCTGCAATGCGCACTGAAGTGGAATTGGACTTTTGGGTGACAGCGCTGCTTAGCATGGCAACATGTTTAAACACAGGTTTACTAACCAAAGAAGCCAAAATTGAACCACCAATCCATGAGCTGAACCTCCGCTCCACTGTTGTGTTGTTTGCTATCAACTTCAGGCGCATGCTCTGAATAGAAAAGGAGGTAAATTGAAAGAACAATCAGACAAATTGTAGGCTGGTGACCTTTAGGGACAAGAGAACGACAGCACGAGGAACGTGGTGTATATACCAACATGCAGGTGAAAAGGTCAATTTTATTAAACTTGCAATAATGCCCATCTGCCCTGTACTTAGAATTCAAGAACAGCCATAGTAGAACAGAACGCTTGTGGCTTTTATCTTGTCTCCCAATAGGGAGCAGCAGCAAACGCTTAAGGCTAGAAATAGGGCAGGGAGAGAGTAATGATACTCACAGTATATATTGTCATCTCTAACACTGAGCTACTTAAATGTGCCTTGGGGCTAAAGTGTCTAACGTTGCTGAACTTCATTCATCTAGTCCTTTTTGGACCCACTAATTCCTTTTGCTTTCAAAATGCCTTGTAGCAATGAAATCTTTGAATTTCAATGGGTTCCACTTCCCTCAGCTATTATAAGAAGCAATGAGTAACTACCTTTCTCAGTTTCTCATAACATTCATGACTTCAGAGTTACTACAAGTAGAACATTTTTTTCTTAAACATGACTATTCAAGAAATATCATAAGCTATATGTGCTCTCAAGAACACAGGTGTAAGGTATTAATACTTTCTTTGACATCAAGTGATTAAAAAAAAATACAAGTACATTAAATCACCAGGTTTTATCTACGAGTAGGTTGAGTTGTCTGTAGAATCCAGGAAGAACAATTCCCATGACAAAGTGACAAGACCTCAGGCAGAATGAATGAATGTGCCTCAAGTTAGTCAGCAACACTTCAGAAGAGAGGCCATCAAGGAAATAGTGCCTGTTGCTTAGGGACAATTACAGAACTTAAAATCATAATCTGAAAGCA